GTGTTGGTGTCCCGGTGCGGCGGAGGCGGCGCTCGGTGACGCTCGGAGCGCAGTTCAGAGCGCAGTTGAGAACTGGAGGTGATAGCCGCTCGTAGGGCGCCGCCCTGGGACCGTGCTTCCTCCCCGGACCCTGGAGCCAGTATCAGGGCGGCCCCAATCCAGGGGAAAAAAAAAAGAGTATTGTTTTATGGAGCGACTTTAGACACATCTTACTGGCTTCTTGACTAGATTGGAAAGACCAAGTGCCGCATGTATTACTTATTACGTACATGATCATTAGTTATTGCTGCGTACCATTTGGCTTAATTCATGGGGTGACCAACTCACCCAGGTTTGCACAGGGATTCCCGATTTCGGCCCTAAAAGTCCTGGGCCCCTGGGAACCCCTCTCAGGCTGTGGCGAACCGGGAAGCTTGCGCACCTGGTTTGTTCACTTTCTTCAACCCGAAGGTAGGACGCTGATCCTGAGTGGAGGACCGAGGTAGTAATCCTGTGGGGTGATTCGAGCCTCTGGCATAGAAGAGGATCCGCACCCATAGCTTAAGGCTGCAAGAGGTAGCTGGATTGTAGACACCAACATGGTGTCAATAGCAGCTCGCAAAGACCTGCTTTTGGGGGGAGGGGGGGAGACCTGCTTTTGAAAACACACAGCGTTTCGCCTGAGAAAATGATAACCTCCGTGGTCCAGAGCAAGTAGTGGGTTCCGACTGCAGTCGATCAAACCTGGCTCCATCATCATGAGCTATGTGACCTTTCTTTATTTGAATTTTTAAAAATTTTGTAAATGTTTCCTTTTTTTAATTTATAGTCTTGTTTATATTACATTGAATCACATATAACTTTACAGTGTATTACATTTCTCTTCCAGAAGGAATACCAAGCTATGTGATCTTGCGAAAGTTAGTCGGTGCCCAGTCAGAAAATGGAATGAAAGTAACAGTTACTTCATAGGTCGGTGGGCAGGATTAAATCTAGTAAATGCCACCTGATGTCAGACCCAATTAAGAATGTGTGCATTCTGCTCACCAGATGGTTTTGCACCACTTCTTTGTTTTCACTTGAAATAGTGGGAAAAAAAATTTAGGGTTGAAGCTGGTTTTCTTGAAAACGTTAATGCCGTTCATAAGAAGTGAAAATCAAGTATTAAATAAAACAAGGGAAGGGACCAGCAGTTAGCGTAATGGCTATGTTGCTGGACTTCCACGTAGTCGACCGCGGTTCGAGTCCCGGACCCGGTGGCTTAAAACTCACGCCGGGCGCATGTGTGTGTGTGCCCAAGATCCCGAGAGGAGAATGGAGGAGAAGGGATTGCGGCATGGCCATTCCCCCTGGGGGGTGATTTCTCGCTTTCTGTCTCTGTCTCTGTCTGGCGAGCACACGCGCCCTATAGCAAAAACCTCTCAAAAAAAATAAAATAAAATAAAACAAGGGAAAAATTGTAAATCTCAGTTATTTAATACTTGGTCAGATTTTGATTATGGCTTCTTAATGTTTCTTTAAAAGTCTACAAAAGGGGACCAGCAGGTGTCCTGATGGTTAAGGCAGCTGCAGCCCACATGGCTGGCGGCTAGGCAGTTTGAATCCCAGATCTGGTGGCTTGAAAAACTCACCCAGGGGTTGTGTATGTGTCCTCAAAATCTCAGGAGGAAAATAGAGAAGGGATTTCAGTGTGGCTACACACCCTCGGGGGGTGCTTTCCCCCTTTCTCTCTTTGTCTCTTTCCAGTGAGTGCCCGTACCCTATGACAAATATAAAAGCAAAACGTCTAAAAAGGCATTATTAAGTTTGTGCCCCCATTTAATACTTTTAGTTGAATATAATCTTTAACTCATTTGACTTATGCTTTTAAATTTACCTTTGTTCTACAATATAAACCAGTCTTCACTGTGGTTAAGTGAAACTATATGAAATTATATACTTGTTTCAACCAGGTAAGACTATAGAAACATGCCCAAATCTCATAAACTTGAAGAAATTGTTAGTATTTTTAGTTCCCATTAAGATGTTAACTTCTGGGAACCAGCAGTTAGCGTAATGGCTATGTCGCTGGACTCCCACATAGTCAGCCACAGTTCACGTCCCGGACCTGGTGGCTTAAAACTCACGCCGGGCGCGTGTGCGTGCGTGCCCAAGATCCCAAGAAGAGAATGGAGGAGAAGGGATTGTGGTGTGACCATCCCCCCTGGGGGGTGATTTCTCGCTTTCTGTCTCTATGTCTCTCTCTGTCTGTCTGGCGAGCGCACGCGCCCTATAGTAAAAAAAAATCTCTCCCCCCCAAAAAAAAGATGTTAACTTCTTAGATTAAAATAAAAACTTACATGTATGTTTTAGAATTGTAAAACAGATTTGGCTATACCCTTAGGAATCTTAATCTTCTTAGAAGATGGAAGCTGTGTCTCATTTTTCTCTCTCCCAGTGCCAGGGATAAAAGGTGACTAGCAAGTGTCAAGTTGATTTCTGCCTTAGCACCCCCTCTTCCCTTGCTGTGGCCATCACAGGTCTCTTCCTGCCTTTGTTACTGCAGTCCCCTCTGAACTGGTCCTTTTGGCCTTTATGTGGCCTCTTGCCCTGCTTTCTTCTAGTTCATAAAATAAGGCTTACTTCATAGCAATTCTGTATTATAAGATCTACTTAAAATTCTTTAAGCTTACTTGTGGCTTAGCTCTGCAGTTGTGGGATTCTGGGGGTTACTGTTCACACTTGCTTAGGGACAAAATGACAAAACAATGACCCTGCCTGCCTCTCCACTCTCGTCTCCTGCCTTGAAGCCTGAAGTCTAGTCTTAGTGTACCTATGAAGGAAACCCTTCAGATGTGTCATGCTTGCCTATGACACATGCAGTGTTTTCTCTCCTTTCCCGTCCTAACCTTCTCACGTCCTTTAACATCCAACACTAGGTCTTCATCCTTTCCTTGGCCCTCTCCACCACATTCACCCCACACCAGGTGAAAATTATTTCTCCCCCTTTTGTGCTCACAGGACCCGCTTTCTTTGGTTGGCACCTGCCATCCCATACCTCATTACTTGTCTCATGTCTTCCCAACCTTTATCCAAGGTCTGTGAGGAAGGGAACAATGGTTGAATTTTTGTTTCCCTCCTAGTATGAGAGGAACTTAAAAAGCTCATGGAAAGTGCATATTCTGAATACTGCACATGAATTTCAAGCAAAATTTTTGTACCAAAATAAAGTTGAACTGTAATACTGTTTTTCCACAGACTGTTTGAAGTCCTCTCATATAGTACCCTGCCCATGTCAGATCCTCAATAAATGTTGGTTGAATAAATATTTTTTTTTTAAGAGAGATTTTTTTGCTATAGAGCATGTGCATTTGCTGGGGAGACAGATAAGACAGAAAGCGAGAAATCACCCCCTGGGGTATGGCCATGCTACAATTCCTTCTCCTCCATTCTCCTCTCAGGATTTTGGGCACATATGCACATGAGTCCAGTGTGCATTTTAAGCCACTGGGTCTGGAATTTGAACCATAGCTGATTACATGTGAATCCAGTGATGTATTCATTACACCATCTGCTGGTCTCTATTTCTTAGAAAAATATAAAATATATTCTTTTAATCATTATCTTTGAAAAATCTTAATACCATTGTTACTGGATTGTGTGGAAAATTAATGCATTGGAAAAATATTCCTGTATTCGGTAAATATTTGTATCTGTCCACTATGATAATTTCTGGAGCTATAAACATTTTAAGACATGGTCCCTGTCTTCAAAGTTCTCACAATGGGAATAGAGAACAGGGAATGATACATTTGTCAAAGTGTTTTTAATTTATCATTTGCTATTAAAGACATAAGATATCACTGAAGTTTGTCCCAGGATAACAAATAAAATGTGTATTCGTATTTATTCACTGTGGTCTGAATGTTTTCCCTAAAAATGTTATTGACAGTGAAATTGAAATCTAGACAGTAGGGCCAGCTCATGGCCTGGTGCTTACGGCAGTTGGATCCCTCATGGCTGACTGCAGTTTTGAGTCCCAGACCCAGTGGGTTTGAAAAACACATCAGGTGTGCCTGCGTGCATGCATGTGTGTGTATGTGTGTATGCTCAAAATACCAATGAGGGAGACATGGAGGAGGAAGGATTGCTGTGTTTTGTCGTCTCCCTGGTGAACACATGTATCTTATAGCAAAAAATAAATGACTAGATTCTAAAATGTGAGTACCAAATTCCTGCTAGAATCCAAAGTTAATGGTTTTTCTTTTTTCTCTTTTAGACGCTTTTCATTCCGTCCTGAGCCAGATCCTTATTGTCAAGCCAAGTACACTTTCTGTCCAACTGGCTCACCTATCCCAGTTATGAAGAGTGATGACATCATTGAAGTCTTTCGATTACAAACCCCAGTCTGGGAATTTAAATATGGAGACCTCCTGGGCCATTTTGTAAGGATCCATCTTGATCTTATAACTCTGGTTAATGAAATGACTTGCTTACTGATTTAAGGGACTAATTACTATTCACATGGCTGACTTGTGATCATAATTAGGCATCAGTGTTCCTCTCAACAAATTTAAAATGAATTTAAAGCAGTTATCAAATTTTGTAATCCTGACAGTAACAAATACAATCCCTTTAATCCCCTGTAATATTATGCATCTGAACTCAACTCCTGTACCTAGTTCCTGGAAAATGAGAGAGGCCCAAAAGAAGAAGCAGGGCAGACAGGAAGCAGTCCTCAATTTCCAGGCCTTCTTGGGGACTTTTCCTTGTTAGCTCATCACCTCATGAGATACAGAAAGTTCCTTCCTGAAGCTGACCTGGAAGCTTCTTGTACTTAATCTAAGCCATAAGGAAATTATAAGCATGTCCACAGAGTGCACATCATTTCTGAGATGAGCTGCAGTGGCCAAAACTAGAGTGGATGAGGGCCTGAAAGGGCCACAGAGTGGACATGAGAATAGCAGCACTGCAGAGGAGCAGCTGACCTCTTGTTCTCGATATGCATTTGTGGTCTCCCACATCTTTTCCCTTCCGTTTACCTGGGCCCATGGTCACTACTTCACAAATGCTTTCATACATGCATTGTCTTTATACAGAAAATTATGCATGATGCCATTGGATTCCGGAGCACAATAACTGGCAAGAATTACACGATGGAGTGGTATGAACTTTTCCAGCTTGGCAATTGCACATTTCCCCATCTCCGACCTGAAATGAATGCCCCTTTCTGGTGTAATCAAGGAGCTGCCTGCTTTTTTGAAGGAATTGACGATACTCACTGGAAAGAAAACGGGACAATAGCTCTGGTAGCAACAATCTCAGGTAAGGTTCAAAATATAGCAGTATTGACAATTGCATCAGTATCCAAATGAAAAATTACTTTCACTGTGGCAATTTCCTATTTATTGTGGTCATGTAAAATGTACTTCTCGAACTACTGAACTTTGACTCAAACTATTATTCATGCAGAACTCCACCCATGAGTGATGAGTAGCTTATCTCCTCTGTTCCCAAGGTAAAAAATTAACAAGACCAGCAGGTAGCATAGTAGTAAAGGTGCTGGACTCCCACATGGCATACTTGGTTTGAGTCCTGGATCTGGCAGCTTGAAAATCATGCCATGCATGTGTGCTCAAAATCCCAATAGAATAGAAGAGGGATGGCTATGGTGGCCATACCCCCTGGGGGATGATTTCTCACTTTCCCTTTTCTCTGACTCTCTCTGGTAAGTGCATATGCCCTAAGGTAGAAATTTAAAAAAAAAAAAAAATGCAATGATAAAATCTCTCTTGTACAATTAAATCAGACTTTCTGACTAAAATAGTGAACAGAAGTCTGCAAAATGCCTGATTAAAGGACCTGCTATCTGAAAAAAAAAAATAGTGATGATAAAACATATTGAGACATAATAGCTCTACTAAAATGGAGTACTCTAGGCCTGGCAGTGTTTTGAGCACTGTACATTGATCCCATCATTGACCATCACAACCACCACCTTAGACAGTGGTATTATCTCCATTTTACAGATGGGGAAACTGATTACAGAGAGGTTCAAGTTACATTGTTAAGTGAGACATTAACCCCAGCAGTCAGGCCCCTTAGACCATTCGCTTAACCACTTAGGTATGTTGCCTCCCCAAATGTGCTATTGGACATGTGAGGCCCCCTTGAGCAGCTTGGATATTTTGTCTCTGAAATTTTCTATGCTTCTGGATGGATTAGAAAGCTGCACTCTTGGTGCATGTGCTGTTTTGCTGGTTAGTGATGAGACAAGTTCAGCAGCACATCACTAACTCATAATGTGATCTTGGGCACCTACCTTATTGGCTCATGGCCACGTGTGTAGAATGAGGATAGTACTACCACTGTATTTTAAAGGCAGTAAGCTTGCCTGTGTGATTTATAGAGCTCTAGTAAGCTGTTGTTCCCCCAAAAGTGGGAACACCTGAAATGGAAGCACTGTTTGTGGTGATAATTATTCAGTGAACCTCAGGATTTGAGGAAATGATTATGCTCTCTACCTCTTCACAAAGTATTCTGAACTGTGTTAACTCAATTTGGTGGGAGAATAAGATACTCTTCTTCCTGGTACAAATGAGAAATGGAGGCTCAGACAGGTCATATGACTTATCTATCTCACAAGGTCATAGAGCTGTATACAGTAGACCCAGGACTAGAACTGAAGTCTTTTAAATGTAAGTAGGGATGTTTTAACTGAGTACACCATGCTATTTCCTAAATCTTTCAGCCTCCTTTCTAATTGCTATGTCTCTTATCACTCCAACAATATGAAAGTCTATCTCTGTCTGAACAGTGCTCACTAATAAACAGTTGCTCTTTTATTCCAAGCCACCTGTATTCCCACCTACATCATTACCTGAAAACTCTCCCTCCTTCTGATAGACATTGATATGAAACAGTGGCCTTTATTTTCTGTAATAGTTTGTAACATACCAACACTTAAATCTTTTAAGTCATCCACTGCCCTGTGATTAATCCTGTTCATTTACCATGTTACAAAGTAGTGTTTTGAAGCATTATTATCTAAGCACAGCAGTTTTTCAAAGTTGAACACTAAAAGCAGTAAACCTAGTTGTAAGCAAATTGGATTTATATTATTCTAAAATTTTAATTCCATACAATCAATAAACGTAGCCACTCTGTATTCATTTTACAGAACATGAAAGATGTACTTGTTGGACTGAACTTGGAGTAACCAAAGAAAAGTCTGCACACATGACAAAATGAAATGTTGCGGCCAGCTTGAATAGGGAATATAAATGCCCGGATGACAGTTGTAACCACGTATTTGGTAACAATACAATGTATTCCAAATATGTGGAGGGGTTTTTCTGGTCTGGTGCAAGGCAGTAGTAGAGAGGCTCAGCCATGCTGGAGTCTATAGTCCATGAACTTGGCCAGAAACACTTCCAGCTTAGTTGACAGAGTAGAAGAATTTGTGTGATGGGCTGGGAGGTCCTCAACAGAAACCCAGTAGCTGCAAGTACATGAAGAAAAGGGAAATACTAAATATTCAAGCAGATGGGTATAGTGCTGCTTCTGGTAAAATATGTCTTCTTCTGGAGTAGCTGCTCCTAAGGCTGCCTTTAAAAAAAAAAAATTTTGTTTTGCCATAGGGCACATGCACTCGCTAGAGACAGAGAAAGAAAGAAATAGGGAAAGTGAGAAATCAGCCCCCAGGGGGATGGCCAAGCCACAAACCCTTCTCTCCTCTTGGAACTTTGGGCATGCAGGCACACATATACCCAGCCTGATTTTTCAAGCCACTGGGTCCAGGACTCAAACCACTATCGACCCTGTGGGAGTCTGGTGCTTTAACCACTATGTCAAAAGCTGGCCCCAGGCAGCCATTCTTAACTCTAGGCGTACTATGTTTTGTGACAGAAAAGCTCCACATGTCACTCAATTTTTCTCTTTTTCCTATTATACTTTCCTTACTTGCCTCTGAATTTAAGATTTGTTGAGTGTGGTAGAGAAAAAGAGCTTCTGCATTTGTATAATTTGACTTTTGACCATAGCTTAAATGATACAGAATTAGTATGGTAAGACTTCCCTTTGCACACTTACTGTATCTGATGCTTGGAATTTAGCCGTGCATTTTGCATTGAAGAATGGAATAAAAACTGGCCAAGGTTGGATACCTGTTTTGAGAAATCCAAAAAGTATTTTATTTTTTTAGGGTTGCTATAGGGCACGTGTACTCACCAAAAAAACACAGAGAGAGGGAAAGTGAGAAAGCAACCCTCCAGAGGCATGACTACACCACAGTTCCTTCTCCTCCATTGTCCTCTCTGTATTTTGGGCACACACACGTTCCTGGTGTTTTTCAAACTGCTAGGTCTGGGACTTGAACCAGAAGGTTGGCCATGTCGGATCCAGTCGCCTTAACCATGCCACCAGCTGGCCCCCAAAAAGTATTTATTCATGTATATCCATTGTCTTAATCAGGTTAGAATATTTTACTCAAAACCAATATGATTAGCTTTGATATTTACATAGGTAATTTTTTTTTTCTCTTTAACTAGGAGTCACATTTAACAGAATGGCAAAGTGGGTAAAACAAGACAATGAAACAGGGATTTATTATGAGACATGGACTGTCCAAGCCAGCCCAGAAAAAGGGGCAGAGACATGGTTTGAATCCTATGATTGTTCTAAATTTGTATTAAGGACATATAAGAAGTTGGCTGAACTTGGAACAGAGTTCAAGAAGATAGAAACCAACTATACAAGAATATTTCTTTACAGTGGAGAACCTACTTATTTGGGAAATGAAACATCTGTTTTTGGACCAACAGGAAACAAGACTCTTGCTCTAGCCATAAGAAATTTTTATTATCCTTTCAAACCATATTTGTCAACTAAAGAATTTCTGTTGAGTCTCTTGGAAATTTTTGATTCAGTGATTATGCATAGACAGTTCTATTTGTTTTATAATTTTGAATATTGGTTTTTACCTATGAAATTCCCTTTTATTAAAATAACATATGAAGAAATTCCTTTACCTCAAAGAAACAAAATATACCCTGGTTTGTGAAACTAATTCTGCTGATTTCTTCTTCAAATACCAGCATCTCTGTTTTTTCAGGAGATAATTGTACATTTGTGGATTTCTTAGCCTTTCTCACCTAGGGAGAAAGTGAAATGAAATTGGCAGAATTGCTGCGTATCATCAACTCCAGACATATCTCTTGGAAAGAAGCTATGACTCTTACTATATTGTCTAAAGTGAGCGCATTAGGTGATCTTGATTCTAATTTCCAAGAATATAGAGAATTATTAAGATTGTCACATAAATAGGATCTTTGAACCTGGACTCACAGGAAAGGAAGTGAGGAAGTGCTTCCCAGGCAAGGTGGCCATATCACAGTCCTTTTCCCTCCACTGTCAGGATTTAGGGCATGAATGCACAGGTGTGTGCTTTTTTTTTTTTTTTTTTTTTTTGAGATTTTTATTTTTGCTATAGGGCATGTGTATTCACTAGACAGAAAGCCAGAAATCACCTCCCCAGGCAGATAGCCACACCGCAATCCCATCTCTACTCTCTTCTTGGGATTTTGGGCACACATGCACATGTGTCAGTAAGTTTTAAGTTGCCAGGTCTTGAACCACGGTCAACTACATGGGTGTCCAGCGATGTAACCATTATGCCATCTGCTGGTCCCCACATGCATGTTTTCAAGTTTGGTCTGGGACTTGAACCTCACATTTTGGCTATGTAAGATCCAGCAGCCTAAACCACCATGCCACCAGCTGGCCCTGGAGCCAATATTTTGAAGTTGCAGTATGGTATGCCAATAAAAAAAATACTCTCAGTGACATTTTCATGTTATGGTAATTTCATTTTTCTTTTAAGTGCTTTTTGGCAGTTTAGACTGACGACAGCTTTTATAGCTTTTATAACTTTGGAACTAGATCCTAGTAGTCTGATTATATCCATTTACCTACCTTTGAAGACTTAACTGGACACCCTAGTGTCACCCCCATTTAGCCTGTGCTCATACCATGCCCTAGCCCCTCCCTAATTTTTTTTTTAATAGACTGCATCTGTGTAGATCAGACAGTGTATTTCCTCTAAGAATCAACTGTACCACTGCAATCCAAGATGGCTACCATAATGACTTCTGAAAGACCCCAGAATGTGCTAAATGACACACCCACCAGTGCCATGACAGTTAACAATCACCAAGTATAGCGCTGCAAACAACTTAATAAGGAGAAAAAGGAAGAGGGGTTTGGAATTCCAGGAAATCCCTGTTTTCCAGAAAAGCTCTGTTCCTTCCCTCTATTACCCTATTCTGTTTTACCCTATTTGCTGTATCTTAAACTGCCCAGCTCAAGACAGGTAAGAAGTCAATTTGTGAGTTCAGCTCCTGCTACTCCACTTCTCAGCCACTGAATAAAATTTATGCCAGTACATTCAGTTTTTGTTTTGTAAGTTGGCTCCATGACACCAAAGGGTAAAAGATTCAATCTATGGGAATAAACAAAATTTTTACAGTAGTGTAAATAAAGTGAAGTGGTTGTGTTTCCAGGTATAGTAAATACAGAGTTAAAAAATACACATTTCTGGAACTAGTCAATTACTGGCTTTTGTGATTTAAGAATCTTTGACATCTCTAAACCTTAATTTTAGTATCTAAAATGATTCAACTGTCAGGATTGCGGTAAAGATTGAAGTCATGCATGTTTGGCATAGTAAGGTCAAAATGATTGGTAGCAATGATGATTAATCAGAGAACAAACTGTCATCCTTGATCTTGTCAATATAGTTTACCTGCCCATCTTTCCTGGGCTTTGTAATCACCGAGACTTTGCTGACAGCACAGTGCTTCAACACTGGGTTCTTCAAACAGCTGGGGCAGAGAAGAATCTGGCTGCAGACATGTCTGAGCAAATAAGTACCTTATTACTCCTTCACTGTTTCCTATAGTTCTCCCTCCTCCCACTAGAGCCGCCAGTGCAGAGGAAGAAGGTGCACTACCCAGAAAGGACAGGTTTTTGTTAAAAGACTTCAAGTGGTAATGCTTCCAGTAGGGCCATCAAATACACTTTCCGGATCCTTCAAGTACTGGATGGTCAACTGGATGCATTCTTTCTGTTCATGGAAAAACATATAAGATACTGTATGTAAATATACCAATTATGAAATTGTTTCAGCTGACATTTATTCTTGCTGAGAAGTTAGTACATTAATACATTATCATAAAAGCATAATCACAGACAGCTATTTACATGATACAGATGAGTAAACTGGAGCATAGGAAGGTTAATTGGTCTTTTCATGGCTACCTTGCTAGTAATAACTGAGTCAGAATTTGAACCCAGGTTCTGCTGACTTGAATTTGTGCTATAAAAATTTTTCAGTGTTATTCAAAGTGTGGTCCTTGGGCCAGTGCCAAATGTTAATTGTCTGGGGAAAAAGTAAATACAGGTATTAATAGGAAGCATTTAGAAACTGTTAAAGCAATATGGAGTATTTGTTTCTGTCAAATTGAATAAAATTTGGGTTTGTATTTTGTATGTCTTTGTTCTCACTTCATTTCTCTAGAAAATTTTTTTTTTTTTAATTCATGGTAGATCATGTGCGTACACAAAGACAGAAGCACTGTTCACTAGCTTGGTCACACAATGATTGCTTTCCTCCAGTCTTCCAGCCCACCAGGATCCTGGGCACATACGCACAAAGGTGCCAGAATGTTTTCAAGCTGAATGGGCTGGGGATTTGAACCATGATTGGATCATAGGGTCTAGCTCTATAGTATGGTACCCTATTGACTGTGCCAGAGGCTGGACCTATGAATCCACTCTTATTCAAAACTAGGCTGTACAATAATCTGAAACCAAAGTTCATTTCTACTGCAAATCACAGAATTTGGTTCCATAGTGAAAAACAAATGAGAACATTGTACATGGCACTTGACTTTTAAAGGACAACTCTTGAGAGTTATGTTAGAAAAGCATTCAAGGTGCCAGCAGATGGTGTAGTGGTTATGTCATTGGACTCCCCCATGGCTGACCACAGCTCGAGTTCTAGCCTGAGAGGCTTGAAACTCACACCGGCCACTTTTGTGTGTCTAAAATCCCAGGAGAATGGAGAAGGGATTGCAGTGTGACCATCCCCCCAGGGGGTTTCTCACCTGGCAAAAAAACTCATAAAAAAAACAAACACAATGCATCCAAGATTTTTCTTTTGTTTCTAAGAATATGAATAAATTAAATTCTGTGAAAGTACTATATAGATCAGGTGATTATAGCACAGACCACAGTATTTACAGAAGTATTAATATTTCAGAATTGATCAAAGCTATCAACTATACAAGATAGGGACCTATGAATCCACTCTTATTCAAAACTAGGCTGTACAATAATCTGAAACCAAAGTTCATTTCTACTGCAAATCACAGAATTTGGTTCCATAGTGAAAAACAAATGAGAACATTGTACATGGCACTTGACTTTTAAAGGACAACTCTTGAGAGTTATGTTAGAAAAGCATTCAAGGTGCCAGCAGATGGTGTAGTGGTTATGTCATTGGACTCCCCCATGGCTGACCACAGCTCGAGTTCTAGCCTGAGAGGCTTGAAACTCACACCGGCCACTTTTGTGTGTCTAAAATCCCAGGAGAATGGAGAAGGGATTGCAGTGTGACCATCCCCCCAGGGGGTTTCTCACCTGGCAAAAAAACTCATAAAAAAAACAAACACAATGCATCCAAGATTTTTCTTTTGTTTCTAAGAATATGAATAAATTAAATTCTGTGAAAGTACTATATAGATCAGGTGATTATAGCACAGACCACAGTATTTACAGAAGTATTAATATTTCAGAATTGATCAAAGCTATCAACTATACAAGATAGAGCTTTCATGTGGAGGTGATTTAAGAACATGCCTTCAAAATGAAGCATGAATTTGCTTTGAGCTACTGTATAAATATATGATTTCTATTAAGATGTTAAATTGTATATGTATGATGTTTCCTCTGTTTCTAAAAGAAACCATTTCACTCAAGTTCGAATTACACTAGGACTTTAGAATAAATATACCCTATCTCAATCTGGCTCAGTATTAGGTTAAGTATACCCATGAAGTATCATCTAGTACATGGTTGATGGTAGAGGAAAACAGTCAAAATGTGAAGATAAATATTAAACTTAAAATATTCAGAACCCTCAATTAGTATTGGCTCCGTAAAAATCAGAAAAAAAAATCAGAAGTCTTTATTTAGAAGCTCTATCCAGTTTTAGTCTGGTCTGGTGGCATTTAATGAATTATCTAGTAACTATTGTTTATGATGGTTCTTTAAATAAATTGTTGGTGGGTTATATGAAGAATATTGCAAAACTACCCACTTGCTTTTCCCTGTTCACAAATAGGCTGGTCCGATGTTTTTTTCCAGCATTTTCTTCACATTTACCTTTTATTGCCCAAGTTCTTTCTTGCTCTTCAAACTTTCATTTCTAGATTCCCCCCTTTATTTAAAACAAGTTAGGATGTTAATTATTTATCCTTTTATTGAACCAATTCTAAGGTAAGCTCTCAGTTCACTTTTGGAGTAAAAGGAAAGTTAGGTGTCAGCAAGCAGGTGGTATTTTCCTGACTGCTTGGTAACATTATAACCTATAGTAGGGACCAGCAGATAATGTAACGGTTATGTCGCTGGATTCCCACATAGCCAAAGCCAGCCGCAGTTTGAGTCCCAGACCTGGCTGCTTTAAACGCATGCCAGGTGCATGTGTGCGAACCCATGATGTCAGGAGAATGAGAAGGGATTGTGGTGTGGCCATCCACCAGGTGGGGTGATTTCTTGTTTTCTGTCCCCCTCTTCCCCATGAGTGCTGGGGCCAACAGAAACGCCCTGCAAACTGACCTGCCTGGGAAGATTCCAGGTTTGTGTCTGGAGATGTCTCCTAATACACTTGGGCAACCTATGCCCATGATCCAGGGTTGGCTGAAGCTGGGGGTGGATTATGGAATCAGGGCCCTTTTGGGGTGCTGTTTCTTTCATTTGCATTCATGGATGAAATAAATGGATAAACTTAAACATACTTTCAGGATATGTGGGGGGCAGGTTACACATAGTCTCTTAAAGGATTCCACTTTTAGGCCTGTTCTTTCTTCACACAACCCCTTCCTTCTAACCTAAACTCCAAAAGTACAAAAAAATTCTTAGAATGCAGGAAGTTAATTTAATCTTTAATCATGCCTGTTCTTCCTGATAATATTAAGACAGCACCAATTACCAAGGTTAACTGACATTTTTTGGAAGCTGTTAAAACAAGATGAAAATAATTCAATACTTCAAAACTATTGAGTTATCCAAAGATATATTTCTCTTAAACTAGCTGCTTATTCTATTTCTAAATAATGTCTTATAAGTTCTCATCTGAATGCAGAAAGAACCTATTCCTTATTTTTTATTTAACCATTTTCTGCTTAAAACTTTAAAAATAAATCTACACTTAATTTTATTATCACTTTAGGCAACAAAACTTATTGCAAGAATAGATTCTATGTGCCTAAAACCTTCTATCTTCAAAAATGCCAGTCTACCTTAAACGTTAATATTAAACATAGCCACCAAGTATGGATTTGAAACTAAAACCATAAATCTGTAAGTTTAACTAGCTTTAAAGTAAAATAAATATATATTTGGGTAGTTTTAAAAATGGTAATACAACAGCATTAGTAACTATCTTTATTCTCAAATTGATAAAAGCATTTAACATGTACTTTACAGTATAAACAAATTAAGTGCTATGCATCTTGCTTATAAAGTGACTTAAAATATGCCAAGCATTTTATATAATTCAATCTGTACAAAAATTAAATTTCCAAGAAAAGCTTTGGTTAGAACTGATTAAATACTATCAAATTCATTTTCCAAAGGTGTTCAAGAAAAAAAAAACTTCATCTATTAGCACAGATATTTTCTTGTACAATTGAAGCTTTCTACTATTTAGTAAGAGAAGAAATATTACAATAATTGCTTTTAGTTTTCAAGTCTGGATCAGTCTTTTTTCTTCCTATCTGTAAGTGGCTACAAGGTAGAATATCATCACTTTTGAAACCATAAATTTTGTAGAAAATCATCTGTCACTTGATTCTTAGGAAGTTCATCTATTTTAAAAATAGATTAGATCTGTAAGAAAGTTAGCTTCCGTAACTACCAAGATACTTTCTAAAAGTCACACTACTGAGGAGAGCCATTTCAAGCATCAAGGTATTATTCCACTGGGGGTAAATCACTTATAATTTTCCTTAGGAGGGTAGTACCTACTAACACTACTGCCCAGAATCAAAGTTTATATAATATCTAAAAAAATCTAAATGTAGCCCAAAACTTAATCATTACAGACTCTACAATGCATGAATTACATTTATTCATATGAAAATAATATAAAAACCTACCTAACTTAAATAATATAAAATATCAGTTTAAACAAATTAACAATCACAAAACTATAGACATTTTTTATTAAAATTTTCTGGGTCACTGAGCAATATTTACTCAAAAATATGATTATCAACTTAAATATATCCTCTTTGAAATTTAATGTTTATGCTGAACTGTACACTGGTAATCATTTTATAATTTTTAAAAATTCTACTTATATAACTATATTAATTCCAAAATGGAAACATAAGCCATCACTAAAATCCACTGGAGACTAGTGTTTTCATGGAAAAAATTTATGAACATTTTAGAGTTCTACCCTTTAATTATTTCAATTTGGCTTTTAAAAATAGATAAGCTTTTCATTTCAATTATTACATAATACTTCAAAGCTAGCTTAAACAAAGATACACAAGGAGAACTGGTAAAGCATTCCTTACTTTACACACAATGCCTCAAGTGTCACATATATAATAATGTATCACAGGAAAAAAAATTTATATGATTTAGCAGATTACAGAGTAAACCTATAAGTTTATACAAAGCTAAATACTGCCTCCCTTCTATTCCATTTATTTTCTTTTAATTTGACCTTGGCTCTGTGTATTATCCTTCTATAATAACCACTGTGTGACATTTATTAATTTTCTAAGTGTTCCAATTATCTGTACCTCTTTTTCTTTTAAACAGCTTTATAACATCTGAAAACATTCAATCTTTTTCATTAGATATGATATATCCTACATTTTTCTCACAAATGCTCACTTTCCTGAGCTATATTAAACACCTTATAACAGGTGTATGTATAACTAAAGACCCTAAAATGTCCTAGTGTACATTTTCAAAAAATGCATAGAGAACAAAACATTTTGGAAAACCTATTAGTACTCACTTCTTAGATATTGTAATATTTAGTTTTGTTTCCTTCAGACTGTATGTAAACTGTTTAATCTTTCTAACTGGTTATTACCTTCACATCTGAATCACATTTAAATAGACTTTTCCTTCGATATTTGATTGCTATTAGGCTAAAGAAACAAATGGAATTTTCTGGTGAAAACTGATTCTTGGGTCTTCCAAAAAACAAGCTTATATACTCACTGAATATTATCAAATTTCTGTCCCACAAAATAGTAAATTATATCAGAACTACAGCAAATAAACTTTAATTTTAAACATTTGCTTGGTAGTTAAGGTGCTATTCATCATGCCCTACATCATGTGGTCTCTACCAAGTGGGCATCATGTCTGGGAACCACACTCTACCAAGATGTTTTGACACCTCCCAGTGAATCTGCTCCAAACTATACTTTTGGTCAGGAATTAAAACTTCTTCCATAATGGATAATTGAGACAGGCGGCCACCGCACATCTTCACAAATTCAACAAAGGCACTACACGAGACTTCACATTCTCCTAGTCCAATAGCTGACAAATTTTTGCAACGTTCTGCAATGCGAATTAACTCTTCATCAAGTGGTCGTAATCCATTTGCACACACTACTAGTTCAACTAGTCTAGGACATGTCATTCCCACACGGCCAAGCACATCTTTGCTTACTGATCTTCCAAAGTAAAGATGGGTAGCAGGTATTTCATAACGAAAGAATGGGTCAAATTCCTCTTCATATAAAAAAAAATACATCACTAAGTTCACTTTGGGTGAATGTCTGATGAAAGCATCCCAGCTGCTCTTCTGAATAGTATGGAAGTGTGTCTGTCCAGGATTCTCACTGACTACATCAATGCGTAAATGTTCTAATCGAACATGTTTTTCAGAAGACAAAGCCAGTAGCAACTCATCACTTAATAAGTGGTAGTTCAGGGCTAGTTCTCGCAAGCCATGACACTGATCAGCAACACAAAGGATACCTTAGAAGAGAAAAAGGAACAAAACAAAACACAACTCATTATTTTCAAGTTTTTATACAAGTTCACCTGGTTTGAGAATTCAATAAAGTACACGTCTCCTGAAATTCTGTCACACTCCCTTACTAGCAAAGCTATATAATTTAAAATTTAGCTGTAGAATTAACATAGTAAGCCATAAGCGTTTAAAGATCTATTGTTAATTTTGTCTCTAAGAAAATGAAGCCAATTCTAAATTCAACACCTTTTTAAAGATGAAACTCACTTAACAACTCAGGAAAAAAATGAAAGTATTAGTAACCATCATTTTTAAAAAATATCATGCCTAAATATGGTTTATCCTGGTAATGCATAGACAGTGCCATTAAAAAATAAAGTTATTGGGACCAGCAGGTTATATGGTAGTTAAGGCACTGGACTGCCACATGGCTGACTGCAGTTTTTGTCCCAGACCCAATGGCTTGAAACTCACACCAGGGCACATGTGCATAAGTGCCTAAAATCCTAAAAGGAGAAGGGATTATGGAGTGGCTATTCCCTGGGGGAGGGGCGGGTGAGTTCTCACTTTCCCTCTTTCTCTCAGGAGAATGCTTATACCCTATAGCAAAAACCAAAAAATAAAGAAAATTATTATTAACACTAAACAGGTTAAGCAAGAAAGATGACATGGTCAATTACAACAGAGGCCAAAGGATCTTTTTTGAAATTTAAAACCTAATCCTAACTTAAAAAAACACAGGTTAAGTAAGAGATAACCAAATGTTATTTTATGTTAACAAAATAAAAATTTACAAAATAAAGATATGCATCGAAAGATCATCAGTTTAACTGCCAACAGTATACAAAAAGCTTAATGAAATTTCTAAGGAAAAAAAAAGGTATCACTAGATGAATGAATCAGAGATAACCATTCAGTTCACATTAATAAAAACATGCAACTTTTATACTACACCCAGAAAGCAATTTCTTAATAGTTCCCTATACTTAGAGCACCACACTTCATAATTGCTCAGAACTAACATCCTAGCAACAGATTACTTTACCAAAGGTCAATATTTGAGCTCTGAAGTGGCCTAGTGTAAGAATTCTGCCTCTAAGAGGCACCTTATGGATAACCTATTTAATTAATTTCTTTCTTATATTTAAAAACAGGGATAGGGACAACAAAACATACATTGTATTTTCATCTATTTATCGTACAAGTATGATATGCCAGGTACTAGATATGTTATCCCACACATAATTTTAAGAATCTGGAAAACTAGGTATTATTTTTATTTGAACTTAAGCAGTCAGCTAAAGATAGTAAAGTTCAAATACAAACAGGCTAGGTGACTCAAGTTCACATGCTTAACTACTGCTTAAGAAGAGACAAGACAGAAACCAAATAGGCCAAAACTTTATGGCAGTGGGAGAGGAGAGGCAACAGAATCACCACAACATGAGTAATGGACATCTATGGTGCACTCTTCAGCCACTACAAAGTTTCTGTTCTCAGCAAGGTGTACAGTGAAATAGACTCTAAGAACCCAAGGTAACCCAAGCACATCTCTATTCTTCACAATCTCAAAAAGCTTGAAATAAAAAGAAAACAAATCCACGGGATATAGTAACCAAAGCTGCAAATACAAAAAAAAAAGAAAACCTTGCAATAACATTTAGTAACTATTAAAGCAATTATGGTAGGCATAACTCTAAAAATAGCCCACAGATTCTACACCCTAATGCCTGGTATTTGTGAATGTGATAAGATATCAACATGCCCACAATAATACTCTTATATAGCACAGCTGGCTTTATAAGACAAAGATTATCTGGAAGGTCCTAATCTAATCACATGAACCCCTTTAAAAGCAGTTTTCTCTGGCTGGTTGTAAAAGGGTAAAACCAAGAAATTCAAAGGACAAAGGGGATTGCACATTTATTACTGGCTTTAAGATAAAGGGGGGGTCAAAAAGGAAAGAATGCAGGCAGCCTCTAAGAACAGAAAGAGACCCTCAACTAGCCTCGGGCTGACAGCCAAGGAAGGGAATGGGAAGCCGGTCCAAAAATTGCAAGAGAGTGAATTCAGCCAACAACTTGTATGAACACCTACACATGGAATAGAACAAAGCATTCCAAGAACTGAAGGAGCGCCAAGCAATTAGTATGCAAGTAAGAGAGAATCAGAAGATGAAGCCCAACAGACAAGTACTATTTCATACTGAACCTTATTAGCCCAGGTAAGGACTTTAGATTTCATCTAAAACGCTATCAGAAGTTATGAAAGAAAGTAGAGAAATCAAGATTACATTTTAAAAGATTAACCTGGCCATAGGATAGAAGTGAGATCAAATAAAAGAAATGCAGTTCATTTAGGAAATCAGCTAAGAGAGTGCTGCACAAAGATTATGGTGGTTGAAACTAGAGAAGTTACAGTGGAAATTGGAAAAGAGATTCAAGGTACATTTGGAGCTCCCAGATTTCAGTGACTGGAGGGTAGCATGAGTAGGAGGAATCAGAGATGTCTGTCAGATCCCTAACAACTAGATGAATGGTGCCATGCACTGATAGAGTAAAACTGGAAGAGCAAAAGATCTGGAAAGAGGAAGAAAGGAAGTTCTTTAGTGTGAAATGTCAGTGAGGCATTACAAAGCAATATACCACCATCATTTAACACATAGATCTAAAGTTCTAGAGACACCAAAAGTAGGAGGTATTAACATGCAGAATGAAACTAGAGCTACAAAGCTGATGACATTATCCAGAGTTTACACAAAACAACAAAAAAGGTGTACAGAAAACACAGTGAAACACCAAAGTTTAAGGAATAAGGAGAGAAACCAGCAAAGGAAAACAGAACAGAAATGGAGAAAAATCATGAATAACGAAGAAGCAAGTCACTACTGTCACTGGTGTCTAGAGATCCAATTATAGACAATTTTAAGAACTATATGAACTGAGAAAAAATGTGATAAAATGTTCAAAATAGAAAGGAAAAAAATAGCCTATAATTTCAACTTAAAAGAAACTGTCCAATCATGCAAAATAGATATAAAGAAAATATGTAATTATGTTAAATTTTAAGCAAAATCTTCTGTAGTTATAATCTTCATTTTATCTCCTCCTCTTCTTGAATAACTAGTACAACACCGTTAAGTGGGACCAAGCAAGCTTGGTCTACTGATGTGTGTATTTAATAAAGAAAGAATGTACCAGGATAAAGAGAGTAATAGCTCAGTTTCACAGAGAAACCAGAGACCCAAACGCTCTCATACAGTGTGCTGAATGTTATCAGTTATGTTCAGAATGCAATGCAAACACACAGGAGGGGAATATGAACTAGAAGGGAGGTGGACAAAACAGGTAACACCTGTGCTGAATTATAAAAGCTGGCGTTTGCCAGATGAAGATGTTAAAATAACAAAAAAAAGCATTCCACAAATGCTGGAACCTGACCACAAACAAAGGTACAAAGAAGTGTAGGGCTCAAGTAAAAGCTGCACATGAGTAAAAAACTTGATTATAGATGGAGGTCAAGATACAAAGAGCCTTCTGCAGCTTGGAAGTATAGCCCTTCCTCTTCTATCAGATCTATACAGTAGATACTAAAATATGATCAGTCTCATAGGAAGTAACTGTCAAAGCCTACTTTTCTTCATTTCTTCTAACAGTTTCAGTGATAATCTAGAAGTGGCAGAGAGGACTGGGGAACTCCAACAGCAGAAAAAGGCATTTACATAGTAGAAAAAAGCATTTTCATCACCCAAGAACTCTCCAGGAAATTTAGGAGAATGAGCAAGTAATCTCTTTCTAATAGGTTATCGCTTCCTCACGGGAAGGCAGACTTTAGATTCGGCAAGTATGTAGAAATGCTTCATAAAGAGACCAAAGATTTAACACTGTCCCCCATCTCTCTCTCTTTTTTTTCTTTTTTAGAATTTACTGAGAGAAAAAGAGAGAGGGGGGGAGAGGGGGAGGGAGAGAGAGAGAGAGAGAGAGAGAGAGAGAGCGCGCGAGAGCACGCGTGCTAAACAAGTACTCCTGATGGGGTCGGGCCATGCATAACCCCCCTGCCCCGCCCAAACCTCCCAGTTAGCCAGGATCACAAGCACACATAGGCACATCTTGCAAGCTTTTCAAGCCACAATGTTGAGGCTCTAACATTGTAGAGCAGCTCTCTACAGCCTGTGCCACTGCAAATGGGCCTTAACACTGTCTCTTAAAGAGTGAGTTTCCCATACATCACAGCTAAAAGGTAGAGAAGAGTATCAATAGTGGGAGGAGTCAGGAACAAAGAAACAGGCAGTAATGCAAAATTCAGATTTATACTTACTTTCCAATTTAAATCATTTGGAATTTAAATGATCTCAAACTGAATAATGTAATAATTCTTAGAAAACAACATGAGAAATTGTAAAGAGCTTTAAAGACTGCTATTCTTCCATCTAATGGGCTCTCAGTTCTAAAAGCTGACTTAGGAAAAGCATTATCTTACAAAATACAAAGCAATGTACAACTTTTCTCCTTCTACATATTAAGGGGTAAAAAAAGCAATTATACGATTGCTCAGATTCAAAACCACCCTGTTAGATCAACAGAAATTAGAGAACATTCTATCTACCTAATGGGCACCTCAGGCAGACCTCTTACTGTCCTTTACTTTTTTTTTTTTTTTTAATTTACTAATTTTCTAGCACATGCTATGCACGAATGACCAAATAAGAAAATTAGAAAAATAAACTGAAAGCTAGTGTCTAAGTCAGTGATAGTACAGAATTTATGCTACTATACTGACATTAAAAAAATCTGTATGCAAAAGAGATGAAATGGTTACATTGGTCTACCTTTAAAATCAATGATTAGTTTTTTTCTTAATCTGATTAACACATTGATGCATTTTACTAAAAAGTATCTGGTAAAAAAACACAACATACCTGCTGGAGAGACATGAGGACAGCTGCTCATTTTTAGCAGCTTTAGCGTATCACTGTTGTTGGCCACTAGTACTTTGAGGGATGGATCATCTACTGGGGTATCATCTATCTTAAGCGAGGACAGGGATTTGGAGTTTACAAACACAACTGTCAGTGCAGAGATAAAGTGTGACTGAAAAGCAAAAAAATTAAAATACTGTTTCAATTTTTACAAATGAAAATTGAGGCGTTTCCATATACAGGTTGAGCAACTCTAATCCAAAAATCCAAAATCTGAAGTGCTCTCAAATAAAAACTTTTTGAGTTCACGTATGTTACAGTGGAAAATTCTACACCTGATCTCACAGAGCAGGTCACTGTCAAAATGCTGCAATACAAAAACAGTGTGTAAATTATCTTCAGGCTATGTGTATAAGTTATATGAAACAGAAATGAACTTGTTATATATACTCAAATATTCTAAAATCAAAAAAATAAAATCTAAATTCAAAACATTTCTGGACCCAAGCATTTTGGATTAAGGATACTTAATACTAGATGTGGTCCATTTAAACCTTAATTATATTATTTCACAATTTTTTTTTGAGAGAAATTTTTGCTATAGGGCAAGAGTGCTCACTAGAGAGACAGAGCCAGAGAGACAGAAAGCGAGAAATCACCCCTCAGAGGGGATGGCCATACCGCAATCCTTTCTCCTCCATTTTCCTCTTAGGATTCTGGGCACACACACGCAAGCTCCCAGCATGAGATTTAAGCTGCCGGGTTCAGCCCGGCAGAGTGAACTGTGCAGGAGTGATGTAACCATTACATCATCTGCTGGTCCCCACAACTGGTTTTAAGAATAGCATCCTTTCACTCTGTTTGTGAGAATACAGTAAAAGAAGGTGACTATCTGCCATGTTTGAGGAGAGCTCTTTAACCTGTGGCGAATTTAAGGCCTCAGGACGAGTATCTCTAAATCACAGCAACCACTGGTTAAGTAAAAAGAGGAATGCTGCAACTTAGGATGAGACTATTTCTCAGACATTTCAGCAACTCAAAATCTTTCTCTAGCATTCTGTAACACCGAACTGCCTTTTTTCTGTTTGCTAGTAATGACCTTTTAACAACTATTAGCAAAATCATTAAAAATTACTGTATCAATCAATTCAAAAGCTATAAAAGTCATAGAAACTCACACAAAATTTTATTCTAAATAAACTAAAATTTTACTAAAATTCCAAACTTAAAATTCTCTTAACTATGTTAAATCATCTGTTAACATTTTCCAAGCCTTTTGTTTTAATATATTTTAATCAGAAATGTACCAATGAGTATCATTCAATTTGTCAATCTGTCTGAGGGACACAGAATCTGACCTAAAGAAGCAACCACAAGGAAACAGGAATTAAAGAATGACCGAAATATGTGACCTGGAATCAGAACCAAGAATTTGGCCTTTGAATGACATGATTTGAACTGCACAGTGCATATTTTAGTGCATATTTTTCAGTAAATACTATAAGTGTATTCCTTACAATTTCTTATCTTTTTTTCCTCCAGCTTACTTTATTATTAGAATACATACATAATACATATAACATACAAAATACAGGTCAATCAACTGGTTATCAGTAAGGCTTCCTGCAATAGTGGGCTATTAGGGTTTATGTTTCGGGGGTGTCAAAAGTTATGTAAGTGTATTTTCAGCTGTGGGGGTCAAAGGTCGTAATCTGTACATTGTTCAAGGGTCAACTGCATATCCAATGAGCAAAGAATCTGGCAGAGTAAAGAAAGGCAAGCCAATACATGTTCTAACACATTCCCCTACATAACCAACCAACTTCACTCTCTACTGAGCTTTATATATTCTGTATAGCAGTAAGAAAGAATGAGGACAGGTAACAGCCAAGGAACACTACCTTCTTGTTCATATTTTCTAATTTACTTCTTCCCTACTCTGAGTAAATAATTGGTTAGCCACTTAAATGTTGTATTTCACCTAACATTTTCATATCAAACTCAAGTATATCTTGTATAATCACATTTCTTTATCACTGTGCTCAATACTTGCATCACTAACATGACTTCTCATTTCCCTGATTCAGCTCTGGCAAATACATTTATATTCTCACATTCATTTTTTTTGGTAGAGGTTTTTGTCTTAGGGCATGTGCACTCCCTGGAGGGACAGAGACAGAGACAGTGAGAAGGAAAGTGAGAAATCACCCCTCAGGAGTAATGGTCACACCACAATCCCCTCTTCTCCATTCTCCTCCTGGGATCTGGGCGCACACGCGCATGTGACCAGCTTGAGTTTCAAGCTGCCTGGTCCAAGATGCAAATTGTGGTCAACCATGTGGGATCAGCAACATAACCGCTCCGCCATCTGCTGGTCCTAGTGACTCAAGTGTTTTAGAGTGAGGTCTCTGAACTATTTTATTTTTTAAAATACATATTTATTATTATTTTTAAATTTGCTATAGGATACATGTGCTCACTAAAAACAGAGACAGAGACAGAGGGAGAGAGAGAGAGAGGGAAATTGAGAGAGCAAAAGCCATCAGGCCCAGGGCCTGGTCTAGTTGGCCATGTGAGACTCCAGTGCTTTAACCACCATGCCCCTAACCATTTTAATTAGAATCAGCTCTACTGTCCACACCAAGGGTAGATTTGGAATCATCCTAACTGGATAGGAATCTGAAATTTAGGATGTTCCTCAGATAATTTTTATGCAATTAAGTCTGAGAACCACAGAGGTTGAACCTATGTACTTAAAATTGTTTTTCCTTTTTTTTTAAATTGCCAGAGTACACGTGCACTGGCCAAAAAGACAGAGAAAGCACTCCCTAACAAGGAATGTTAATACTGCATTCCCTTCCCTCCACTTCTCAATCCTGTTGGGATCTGGGGCATGCATGCATATGCATCTGGTGTTTTTCAAGTCACTGGGGCTAGGATTTGAACTACAGCTGGCCCTGTGGGATCCCAAGACCCTTAACCACTAGGTTATATGGACAGTCCTAGAATTTTAATACATTACAGTGAACAAATTTTGTTGCCCATTTTCCTTATTTTACCTGACGAAAGCATTTTATTTCAAAATGTGCACATTTCATGAAATCACCTAGTGGTACATTTTGTACTGATAACACTTGATTAAGTGATGGTTTTCCTGAATCATCCTAGTAAATTAAACTGCTGAATGTTTAAAAGAATACATTTTAGTTACTGATGCATTTTAAAACAACAACAAAAAAAACTTTCAAATTAGTGTTAGATACTAACCTATAAACACCAGCTAACACACTCAAAGGCCTTGACTATTTGCTTTTCAGGCTATATCACGGTGTATGAAAAAAGTAAATGAAAAAGAAATTAACTTTCTGTTATGTATATCCAAATAATCCAAATAGTGCTTTTCTCCCATTTGATGGACTCTTAGTTCCAAAAGTTCACCTTTATTTTTCTATTTTAAGAGAATAGTTTTGAAAGAGAGACTAACTCTGATTATGGGCAGGATAACGTTACAACATACATGTGAGGTGTTCAAAAAGTTTATGGAAAATGTGTAACAGGACAAAACTATGCATGGATTTCAAATTTTTTTTGTCGAGACCTGCAGTTGGCGTAATGGTTATGTTGCTGGACTCCCATGTAGTCAACAGTGGTTCAAGTCCCAGATCCAGTGGCTTAAACTCATGCCAGGTGTGTGTCTGTATGTGCCTAAGATCTTGAGAGGAGAATGGAAGAGAAGGGACTGCAGAGTGGTCATCCCCCCTGGGGGGTGTTTTCTCGTTTTATATCTGTGTCTTTCTGGCGAGCGCATGTGTCCTACAGCAAAAACCTCTCCAAAAAAAAAAAATTTTGTGTCAAAATTAATTCATACTTTATTTAATCCCATTTTCAACTAACTTTCTGAAGTGCTTTCATATACAAATTTTTAAAAATCATGTTTTTTAAAAGTAAAATCTGTAAATTAATCCAAGCTATACTGATACCAACTTCACTCAAGAATAAACCTTTACAGAACACTTGTAAGATTTTATAAAGAGGTTATACCTGTTCCACATACTGGCACACTCTTACTTTTCTTTGATTCTAACTTCATTAATCTATCCTGAAAATCCAAAAAGGATCATCTATGTATCTTTTCTCTAATGTGCTTCTCAGTTTTACTTAACCCTTCCTATAGAATCCCCTGTAAATTCATTTTCCTTTTAACCTTATAATGGAACACAGGTGGTTAAAATAACTCACAGAACTTTTTATATTTATATATATGTGTGTGTGTGTGTGTGTGTGTGGATTGGTTGTTTTTGTTCTCTTATTTATATTATACTTTAGTTTTTCAGATACAGTACTCCCTTTAGTACCAATAGAATAGCTGGTCTGATATCAGTAAATTATTTCAGGTTTTGTTTTACCGAAAATATTTTTATCTTTTTATCCCACTTGAAAGATAATCTCCCCAGGTACAGGATTTTTATTATTATTATTATTATTATAGTGTTTTCAATATGTCTTTCCATTCTTTTCTTGCCTGCATTGTTACAGTTGAGAGGTCTGAAGTTAGGCTAATAGAATAACCTTTGTAAGTGACTTGATGTTTTTGTCCTGTTATATTTAGCATCTGGTGTTTGTGTGTGGTTTTACCATTTTTGCTATAATGTTCTGTGTAGAAGATGATCTTATGTTGATTCTATTTGGGTTCCTTCGTATTTCTTGGGTCTGGATGTAAGAATATCTTTCTATATTTGGAGTTTGCAGCAAGTATTTCATAGAATAAATCTTCTATGCTCTTGTCTAATATTTGGATTTTTGGGCATTTGGTAGTGTCTAATATTTCCTGTATGTTGTCCTCATTTTAAAAACATATTTCAACTCTTTTTGGTACTTTCATCTCTCAGACATCTCATCTTCCTGATCAGAGATTCTTTCTTCTGCCTTTTCTTATTTAGTATTAATACTTTCTTTCCTTTTTTTAATGTTAACTGTATTTTTTCAACTACTTCAGATTTTTTTCTTTTAGCCTATTTTAGTACTATGTATTTTCTTTATTTAAAATTTATTTTACATACTTTCACCAAACATCACCACAGCATACAAAATGGGATTTTACAGCAAGAATACACTATAAATTGGCTTAATCATACATGCTATCATCAACAAATAATTTCCCATTTCTTTTTTTTGTATATATATGAAAATCTATATGCCAAGAAACAAGAAATCTTGGATGAGATGGACAAATTCCTGGACACATATAATCTACCAAGACTGAATAAGAAGGACATTAAAAGCCTGAATAGGCCAAATAACAAGCCATGAGATTGAATCAGTAGTAATCTCTCAACAAAAAAAGCCGTGGTCCTGATGGCTTCACCTCTGAAATCTATAAAACTTTTAAAGAAGAGTTCATCTCCATTCTACTCCAGTTATTCTAAAAATCCAAAAGGATGGAATACTCCCAAATTGATTCTATGAAGCCTCTGTCACCCTTATCCTTAAAACAGACAAGGACATGACAAGTAAGAAAAGATATAGATCAATATCTCTGATGAATAAGGACACAAAAATTCTCAAAAAGATACTTGCAAATCATATCCAACCGCATATACAAAAATTATACATTGTTGGTGTCCACCCTGGGGCTTGTCTAGCTGAATCATGATCAGAGGGCTGCAGGTGAGGAAGAGAAAGAGAATGAGAAACAGAAAGCCCTCCATCTTGCAAGGACCAGGAAATTGGAAAGAATGAGACAAAGATATAGAGTAGAAATGGACAAAGGCAGCCTGAGCCTAGGTAGACCAAGCAATTTGTGCCACGGCTGAGCCACTGCTTGAGTCGCTGCTTAAGCTGCTGCTTGAGCCACCCAGACAAACTGGGCCTCTTTATTTATACTACAAGGAGACATTACGCATGTATGCTTCATGACACTTCATAGGTTTGTTGCCAGGTTACAGACAATAAGAAGCAATTAACAAATCTATAAGGGCTTAGTCATACTGGGCCAGGTGTATCCCTTGGTGATAATCCCATCAAGAGAAAGTCCCATAATTTTCTTTTCTAATGCAGAGAAACCTAGCTGTAGGTGTGGGGAAGAAGCTAAAGAACTCCATAAGGAGTGCATCACCACACCCAGAGAAGGCTAAAGAATCTTTCAGATGCAGAGCAGAGATTGGACTTTGCTAATCAGGATCAAGGTGTCTCTTGAAGTCCATCACACATGTCCATTGGAAAGCCCCTAGAAATTTCCACCCTTGCTCTGTCTGCAGCAAGGGTCAAGGAAAGGGCAAGTTACAAGGTTCTGCCAAAACCCAAAAGGACAGGTGGTATTTGCTAAGAACATGTCCCCACACCTCAGGTTCTCTCTCTAAACATTTCCCCACAATACATCATGACAAGGTAGGTTTTATTCCAGAGATGCAAGGATGGTTCAACACATGCAAAACCATAAAGAAACAATGATAAAAACCATATGATTATATCAACTGATGCAGAAAAAGTGTTTGATAAAATATATACCTTCATGATTAAGGCTCTCAGCAAAATCAAAATAGAAGGCTCATTCCTCAGCACAATAAAAACTATCTCTGAAAATCCTATAATTAACATCATTGTGAATGGAGAAAAGCTGAGAACTTTTCCAGTAAAAGCTGGTACAAAACAAGGATGCCCACTTCCTCCACTCCTTTTCAGTACAGTACTGGAAGTCCTCACCAATGCAATCAGGAAAGAGAATAAAATAAAAGGCATTTGTATAGAAAAAGAAAAGGTGAAATCATCTCTATTTGCAGATTACATGATTTTATACATAGAATACCAGGTGGTATCCACAAATTCCTGAAAGTAATAAATGCAATAAAGTTACAAGATACAAAATCAGCATACAGAAATTTATAACATTTCTGTATATGAACAGCAGGTAGACTGAGATAGAACTGAAGAAAGTAATTCCACTTACCAAAGCCACAATCAGTATAAGATACCTAGGAATAAATCAAACCAAAGAAGTTAAAGACCTCCACAAGGAAAAGTATGAGAAGCCAAAAAGAGAAATTGAATATGACAGGAAAAAAGTGGAAGTACATCCCATGTTACTGAATTGGAAGAATTAATATAATCAAAATGGTAATTCTTCCCAAATTGGTCTACATATTTAATGCAATCCCAAAGCACCAGAGATGTTTTTCACAGATCTAGAAAAGACAATCATAGAATTTGTCTGGAATCTAAAAGACCTTGTATTGCAAAAAGAATCCTGCATTAAAAAGAGTGGAGTGGGGGACCAGCAGTTAGTGTAATGGCTATGTTGCTGGACTCCCACGTAGTTGACCGCGGGGCAAGTCCCGGACCCGGTGGCTTAAACTCAAACCAGGCGCATGTGCATGCATGCCCAAGATCCCATGACGAGAATGGAGGAGAAGGGATTGTGTCGTAGCCATTCCCCCTGGGGGTGTACCAGAAGCCCTGTTCCAGCTGTGGTGTGTACACAGGAAGGTGACACGGGTGAACAAAATCAGCCTTAGACCTCAATGGCCCTTAGCATGTTCTCAGCTGGATACAGACAGAGCAAGCTCAAGACTGCAGCCCTGATGGCCAGGAGACATGCATATATATTATTAAAGGAGTTTTACAGGAGTAGGATGGGTGAGGGGATGTAAGTGAAAGATTTTACTCCAAAAGTAAAGCATTCAAAGTATAGGAACAATAATCATAAAACACGATGTCTGTTTTGTTTAGGTATAAACAGTCATAATTCTTGGAACAAGGAAGTCCATTTGTCTGGTGCATTCTCTCCTTAGATCTTGATTATTGGGAAGGGTACATGCATAATAATTATGTTTATATATAGATATAAAACTTCTCACTCAAATTCTCATGTCCAACCCAGACAATTTGAATCATTCAAATTGTCAACATTCTAAAAAGTAACTGGTTTTACCTTATATATATATTACTTTTCTTATACTCTCATTGCCAACACAAGGAATGGTGAAGCTCTCACTGGATTTCTCAGAAAAAGCTAGTACAATTAAACCAGCAAATACCTTTGGTAAATCCATAAAGCTTGGCCGAGCAGTTGAAATTAGTCCAAGTGTTTTCAAAGAGCAATTCACAAGTTGCGATAATATATCACAAGCTGCTTCAGCTGATTCTTTGCTGCTGTCCACCTTAGAAAAGAAAACACCATTTATTCATGCATATATTTACATTTCTCTGTGCATACCTTAATTTTATGAAAGCCAAGAAGCCTAATTCGTTTACTGCATTATAATTTAAAGAATATTTATTCTTTCAATTTTCCACTCTCACCCACAACTTCAGCCTTTCCTGAAAAATTGTAAGGGTGGGAACAGCAGTTAGCGTAATGGCTATGTCGCTGGACTCCCACGTAGTTGACCACGGTTCGCATCCTGGACCCGGTGGCTTAAAACTCATGCCGGGCACGTGTGCGTGTGTGCCCAAGATCCCAAGAGGAGAATGGAGGAGAAGGGATTGTGGCATGGCCTTCCCCCCTTGGGGGGTGATTTCTCGCTTTCTGTCTCTCTCTGTCTGGTGAGCGCACACGCCCTATAGTAAAAACCTCCCCCCCCCAAAAAAAAAATTGTTAGGGCAATTATTAAGACAGCTATCACTAGAACATATACAGTTAATATTGAAAGGACTTGGCCTTTAAATTGATTTGTTCTAGACTGTATAAATATAATAAATACATTTACAGTTTCTGAAAAATAATTATATAGTTGGTAGTGGATCATATATATAAATACAGTGTGGATGGTACATGTGTCAAGGCACCAGAAAGTGAATGAGTATTCAGAATGTTCAGGTTAATCACAATCTGGGATTCATCATTAATGTTTTTAACGGAAAGATGAGCGTGAAGTAAAATGAGGGTGTCTAACCAATCAAGCATAAACCAGAAAAAGGAGCTGCTCTCATCCTTCTGCATCAGACATTACCTGGGGGAAGAGCAATACTGCCAAAAAACCCCTCAAAGATTTAAGAAGGAGCTGTTCTATCAAAAAGTTAGTTGTTCTCTAGCTAAAAAGCATCTTATAACATAAGTTAAAGGTAGTATCATTACTTAATCCTAGATTCATGTACATTATTCCAAAAATGTTAAAATCTGGTTATAAAACTAATAGTATACTAAATTATATTAATTTTAGAACTAGTTATAGTATTATCCTTTAGTTAAGTTTCTTTATACCAGTGGTTCTCAAAATGTGGTCCCTGGGAACCAGCAGTTAGCGTAATGGCTATGTCGCTGGACTCCCATGTAGTCAACCGCAGTTTGCGTCCCGGACCCGGTGGCATAGAACTCACGCCGGGCGCGTGTGCGTGCGTGCCCAAGATCCCGAGAGGAGAATGGAGGAGAAGGGATTGCGGTGTGACCATCCCTCCTGGGGGGTGATTTCTTGCTTTCTGTCTCTTTGTCTCTCTCTCTGACGAGTGCACGTGACGTATAGCGAAAACCTCTAAAATGTGGTCCCTGGACTAGCTGCAGCATCATCACCACCTGGGAACTTGCAAATTCTCATGCTCAAGCCAAACAACCTGAATCAAAAACCCTGGGGACAGGACCCAGCAATCTTTATCTTTTCAAGCCCTGAAAATGATTTTTATGCACACAACACATTTTGAGAATCATTGTTCTAGACTAGTATTCTTGATTACTGCCTCTCTGGCCTATAGTCTGAGATAACGTCAACGAATATTATCAAGAAATCAGAAAAGATTCTTGGGACATGACTCTTTTTTCTAAGTCAGAAATCACTTCCTCCAGAAAATAAGCAACCTCTAATAAAAATGTTAAACTCATAGCACAAATGGTTTTAAGACTTAAACAAGTTGGACACACCTGAATTGTGTCACAAGGCTGTAAAAGACTAAAATTGGATACAGACTTTATCTGTTGGCTAAAACTGGTCTTTAAGACTTACCAGATGAAATCTATAATAGTCATCTTTTTAAGGCATTTACCATTAGAACATTCTTATACAATTCAATGACAATTATAACTGAAAAGAAGGCTCATCAGGTTTCCTCCGTGAAGGAAGAAGGATGAAGAGTTCCTGAATTTTTGTGTGATCACATCATAATTTCTCCATGCTGTTCCTGATTAGGGTTGCCAGATGATATACAAAATATTAAATTAAATTTGAATGTTTTCAGCTAAACAACAAATAATTGTTAGTATTATGCATGTCCCAAGATTGCATAGTACATACCTAAACGAAAAATTATTCACTGATTACCTAAAATTCAAAATTAATTAGGCATCCTATTATTTTTACTTGCTAAACCTGGCAATCCTACCCCCAGAGGCCTAAGTGCCTCTGTGCCTTCTTCTGGGAAGAAGGCCACAATATACTCAACCATTCCCACCACCTAGTACTTCCTCCTCCTTGGACACACATGGGAGAACAAGCATCTCCACCAAGGCAAAAATGAGGCCAGATGCAGTGGTGCAGCAGGAGCATAACACTCCAAAATATTGAAGCCACATGAGAACACTCCAGGTCTGCATCATGAGGTCTCCTTGTACATGCCAGGTACATGTACCGATAATCCTTACTGGTGAGGCTGGGGGTGCACTGTGGAATAAAGACCTGGTTGGGCAGTACCTGTCTGTTTCACCCATGGAAAAAAACTTAAAAAAATGATATTCTTGGGGGAAAATAAGCTTTTGGTATAACCGTCAGGTTTGGTATAACCAAAAGCTATAGATTAAGAACCATTGCGAGGTTTCACTCAGCTTATTTAGCAATTGAAACCTATGTACATCAGAATTTCATGTGGTGTTACTTTTCAGCAATTACTAGTTGTTTACTACAGAAAGATCTGGTGTTAAGGATTCAGTGAACATGCCCATATTTTATTATTCATTCCCAACACAAAAACATGACATGCCTTTGTGTTTGTGCACAAACCACTATGATTTTTTAAACTAGACATCTCAAAAAGTTACCCCATTGTCATCTATTTCACTGTATAACGTATCGTATCTTTTTATTTTTTTATGCAAGAATGTGTCATGACTTTTCTGACAATCTAATGGTTCTCTTTAGAATTCTTCCAGGTACCCTTTTCTATTTTTAAAAGATCTGTTATAGGACACGAGAGAGACAGAGACAGAAGTGGACAAAGAGAGAAAATAGGAAAAATCAGATGGGATAGACATGCTGCAATCCCTTCTCTTTCCTTCTCTTCCTCTCTCCTCTCTGGATTTTGAGCAGGAAGCACATGCATCTGACACATTTTTTCAAACCACAGAGTTGGTCATATGTGATCCAGCCACTTTAACTACCAGCTCTTATTTTTCTCTAAACCTTTTACATAAAACTATGCTTTATTTTAAAATGTTCTATTAAAAACTCATCAGTAATATTCAGTCCCTATTATGCAAAACAGCAATTAAACTAAGCAACTAAAATCCCAATTTTTACTTTATTATTTCTTTTCCCTCAAATGTTTACAGCAATTTAATGTAACTGACTACTTTGGTCAATGATTTATGCTTTAGTGGCTGTTTTTGTTTTTTTAAGAAGTTATTAATCAGGACCAGCAGTTAGCATAATGGCTATGTCTCTGAACATCCCATGTAGTCGACCGCGGTTCAAGTCCCAGACTCGGTGGCTTAAACTCATGCCGGGAACATGTGTGTCCGTGCCCAAGATCCTGAGAGGAGAATGGAGGAGACAGGACTGCGACATGGCCATCCCCCCGGGGGGTGATTTCTCGCTTTCTGTCTCTGCCTCTCTCTTTCTGGCAAGTGCATGCACCCTATAGCAAAAACCTCTCCAAAAAAAAAAAAAAAAGAAGTTATTAATCATTGTAGTTGAGTCAAATATCACAATTCTTTGCGACAGCTTCTAAGGTATGCAATAGTTCAAAATATTTAAGCACTTCCCTTAAAAAGGCAAATATTTTAAAGACTGTATGATATATTGGTTTAGGACACAAAAGCCACTAAGAATATATTTTTTAAATAAAAAACTTAAAGAATTACCTTGAAGCTGACATACTGTAGATGGTTTGAATGTCTTTTAATAATTTGTTTGATCAGCTCTGGATGTGTAGCTTTCAAATAAGATGTAGCTGGCTGATTCAGTTCAAATTCAAAACACCTCCACAAATCTGGCATGTGAAATACCTGGTTCCAGTTGCGGCACACTTGTGAAGCATGGGCCCGGTCAAGAAGAGGCAAATACTTAAAAACTTGGAGAATAATGTCTTGAAGTAGATTACCCCAATCACAACTCTGAGACTGTTCATTTGTAGTCCTCAGTTTCTTGCATTTGTCTGCAGTACCTTCTTCTGATGAATTAAGGTCACTATCTTCTCCTCCTCCTCGTTTCATCCTATTCAGAAAAATGCATTTTTAAAAAATTTGACTTAACTTCTGATTAGAAATAGATGTATATATGTGAAATTAATTCTTTTGTCACTAAGAGGTATGTGTTTATTGCATATATAAATACACATATGCAAGAAAAATTATATCAGTAATTTAAGAAATACATTAAAACAAAATATAATAAAAATACCAATGGAAACCAGCTATGGTTTACAAGTGCTATACATTTTTTAGCAGGTGTTTTTAAACATTTACATTTATATTGCACTACCTGAAGGGAATCTTTATCATGATTTAGAAACTAAACCAAGAACTTGCACTTCAAAAGTAAAAACCAACTAAAATGAATATAAAACCTATGCTAATACTTTCTAAAAGTTTCTTAAGAGTAATCTGAGGATATCTGATTTGTGTTTCTGTATTCAAGGCATATTAGAATCCCATGATCTTCCAGAGAGGATTGAATAGCTAACAGAGCTTCTACACTGCAAAGTCTGTCACAGCATTACTGCCAGACATTTCCAACCTGTGTTTACAACAAGTAAACTCATTCTTACGATGCACTGTTTGACCTGGAATGCGGTTTCTTCTTCCAATCCACTTACTGCTGCAGTATTTTCCCCAAGTTGTGTTTCTAAACAATACCTGGAGTTTAGTATTTTTACTAATTTCGTCCCATTTCATTCTTTGATGGTCTTTCTGTGACAAAACAGTATTATGATTACAGCAAGTGGACTCTGGAATTAAACTGAGTATGAATACTGGTTTTACCTCTCACTGACTGTGTGGCTTTGAGTGAATTATTTGACCTTCCTGTGCTTCAGTTTACAAAACAGAGATAATAAGACAGAGTTCTTATAAGGAATGAAAGCATATTAGGACTTCCAAAAAGAGAGAAATGATCATTGAATTCTGGTATAGGAAAGCAATCTAGCATTAAAGATGTTAAAGTGGATAACACAGTAAAAACAGAGGTTACCAGCCAGAGGCAAAAAAAAATCTTATTTTTGTGTTAGTGTATGCGCTGCCAAAACAAGCACCTATTTTTGTTTTGAAATGAAGTGTGAAATAGAGAAGTGGGGGAGAACATGCTTGTGCTCTAACACACTGGAAGTAGATTCGCTCAATTATGTAGCAGTAACTAACAGGGGGTGGTGGGATTACAGGTGATTTGTTTTGCTAATATGCTTACCCTTTCTACATTTTACACATTTCTTTTAATATCAATGCAATCAGTTTTTTTTAAGGTCTTATTTTGATGTTATTAGTTGGAAAAAAAATACAGCTGGTTCTAAACTGGGGTAACTGCAGATCACTCCCTGGTAATCCTATTCAGTTTAGGATTTATGATGCTTTTGTTTTCTACAGAGTTCTGTTAGAGTAGAGGTTTGTACGTAGACTTGGTCATAGCCTTTCAAATGGATGGTCATGGTTCTAATTTTCTTCTGGCGCCATTAGCATTTAAGAACTTTTGAGTTTCATTTGGGATGAAGGATGTGCATATATATGCATGACTGCAAACCAAATGATGTCTCTGCAGATTTTCTCCATCCAATAGGTAGTAAAACTTGTGAAAAAGGACGGAGGTCTACAGAATCGAAAGAATTTTCTGAGAAGCCCCTGGCCTTCGTGCCATGAAAATCAGTCCAGGAGGTCTCAGTGCCTATTCTCACTGCTCCCACTTCCTACCATATGAATAAAGTGAAATAAATTATGCATATCCTGTCAAGCAGGGGAAAAGGAAGGGAACAAACAGAATAATTGGAACTTAGGTGTGAATCTTAGCCTAAAAAAAAAAAAAAAGACATCAGAGAAAAGGTAGCATAACCTACAATATAATCTTTAGCATAAGAAATTTCTAACAGTACTGTCCTACTAGAGGTTGGGATGACACTGTCGTTATGACCCATTTTTCTCCTTTAACTTACCCTGAAGGTTTACTTTAATTTTAGCATATAAAATTTGGGTCAAAGAACAAAGAGTTTGCTACCCAGGGTTGATCATTTTTCTTCTGATTACCTATAACTACTCAGAATTTTGAGATACAGAAATTCAAAGAAGAATGAAGCAGGCTTCATAACCTCTACATCTTATTATAGAATGCTGATCTCCTTTCTTGGAGATAAGTTTTCTAAAACTGGAACTATTCAACTTAAAGACAGAATGATTTATTTTACTTTAGACTATGGGGATATATAAATAAAAATAATATGAAAGACTTATTCACATAATAATCTTCACTAATGCTTTGCTGGTTCTAAGAATAAAAACTTTTATCTGTTACAATCCTGTTTTAAAGTGCATTTCAATACCTTTCCAAGTTCAGGAGGAAAAAGTTGACTTTTTTTTTAATGTGCAACACTAAAGTACAATACCTCTTGTCTAGATATAAATAGACTATTTTTTTTTTTTGAGAGATTTTCACTGTAGGGCGCGTGCGCTCGCCAGACAGACAGAGAGAGACATAGAGACAGAAAGCGAGAAATCACCCCCCAGGGGGGATGGTCACGCCGCAATCCCTTCTCTTCCATTCTCCTCTTGGGATCTTGGGCACGCACGCACACGCACCCGGCGTGAGTTTTAAGCCACCGGGTCCGGGACACGAACCGTGGTCGACTACGTGGGAGTCCAGCGACATAGCCATTACGCTAACTGCTGGTTCCCTAAATAGACTATTTTGATCACCAAAGCATAGTGGAAGCCTTTATTAGTTCATGAATAGCTGAACAAAAGTCTGTAAATAGTCATATATGATTTTAACAAACTGTAATCACAGTATTAATAAAAATAAAAACATCTAAGGCCAAATGCCAATAAAATTGGTCTCTGGTCTATCCTCATCTCTGCATGAAAATAACAGAAGAGTAGGGGAGGCACCTAGTACAAATTTTAGGTGTTAATTTTTCCAAGTTGGTCTTACTCATGTGAAAACTTACACTGCTTTCAAGAGTATTTAAATTTATTTACAAATGATGCCTCGGTGTATAGAAAGTTAAGCAATTCAGAGCATGCTCCCACCTCCAAATAATTTGTCAATGGACAGTTATGTCTCCCACTTCTGGTCAATGGGAAAACACCTCTTATAATGGAACTCCAGGAGTGCAGAGGATCAAGGTGAACAATAAACTTCAGTAAGACTTGGTAAGAACTTGGTCAGAACCAGGCTTTTATATGGCTCTGGCAGTTTCATTTCCTGCAGTGTTTCCAGGCCCCAAATAATGTAACTTGGGCCACTAGAGCTATTGGTGAGAAACTGATATTACTAGCATTAAAAAGCAAACTGCAGAGACTATACAGTAGCAGCGGAGGGCAAGTTGGTGAGCTAACTTTTCCATAAACTCTGACAGGAGCAGTCAGCCTGAACATCAGCTGAAGAACAGAGCTGGGTTTCCCCTACCAATCTACATATTAAACACTCCCATGTACACTGGGCATGCAGTAATTTTTAACACCTGTTTGTACTACTGAAAAGTCTATTTTGGTATTAAATGTCCTTCATGTTCTCCTTTGACTAATACCAAAATTAACCTGCAATCTGTGGCTGAACTACCAGAATAAAAGAGTAAAAAGAGATGAACTCTTGAAACTGAATGGTAGGGAGAACATGGGGGCGATCATCTCTCTAGAGGTCATACCCGGATAATTGGGAGTGGATGGCATGTGCATAAAAATTTCAGAGATAACAGAAACAAATTAACATTTTTTTTTCAAGTTAGAGAAATCTATCCTGATTATAAAGATCGGGGCCACTCAACCGGACATCAGCAACAACACAGTCATGATCATCTCACCTCCTGGCTGGGGGACCGGGCCCATCGTTTGCAGAGCTGACCTCTGCCCTTACCTCCCCGAGACCGCCGCTCAGGCTGCTCATCCCAAGTTGCCCAAGTTTTCCACAAGCCCACGCGGCGGGGTCGCCCCCTCCGCCCCGCGCCGCCTCCGAGGCTCGGCT